AAGACCATTGTGCATAGTTTTCTTTTCAAATTGTCATGGTCTTTCTAACAAAATGGAACTGTATTCCTCGCCAGTCCCTCGCTAATTAGCGAGGAAATAGCTTGGATTTAAATCCCTCGCTAAATTCCCTCGCTAATCCGCGAAATTCTTGTAGTGTTCATAGAGTAGGAAATTCCTTTATTTTTGGTCTTGTATTTTGACCATAAATTAGGGTTTTTGAATTTTGGGCTTGTAATTGGGCTTCTTGGGCTTAAGGCTTTTGATACCCAATATTGGGCTCATTCTCTTTCTTGTAATTTTTTCTATTCATTGTATTACTTGGACCATTGTATTTAGGTCATTAGTCTAGGAATTAGGAGGAAAACTTGTTAAATAGGATTAGGTTAAACTAGGTTTAATTTAGCTTGCATTTAAGTTACATTTGGAATCACATGGATGGCACCACGTTGGCTGAATATGTGTGACCCAAATGCAACCCTAAATTCAAGTTAAATCAAATCTTAATTCACTTAGCAACTATGTGAATCGATGACATACATGTGGTGAGAGATTTGAATTCAAATTTTCAAATTTGAATTCAAATCTTGGCGCCACATGTGAAGCCTTCACATTGGCGCCAAGTAGCTTTCAATGGTAGGATGTAATGTCACTTATACAGCTCTATTGTTGTGGAAATCTCCTAGGTGTATGCGAGACGACGCATTAGATGATTGATATGCATTGATATCTGTCATGAGATGCATTTATTGCATGATTATTAATATGATGAAGTGTGGTGTTTAACTTCATGAATAGTGAATTGTATTTTATGCATGAGTAGTATTGGATAGAGTGGATGGTGAGACTTTATGAATATGATTAATGGTTCATGATTGGTGCATTGTATGTTATGCATGAGTAGTATTGGATAGAGTGTATGGTGAGACTCTATGAATATGATTAATGGTTGGATGATTGTGTAGTATAGATTATAGTTCTATACTTGTATGATTGATTTGTGAATTCTAGCTTACCCTTCTGCTTCCATGTGGTGGAACTGCGATGATCATACTTGGTATGGGAGCAGGTCAGGGCTAGCTTGGAGTTGAGGTGACCGCTGCGAGACGGGGAGTTTTGATCCTCGTGTTGGAGTTATCTTTTTGGGTAACGGTTTTGTCTGTACTTGACCGGCACTAGGGAATATTATTTTTGGGATGACTGTACATATATGGAATTTTATTTTATAACCAAAAATTTAGATAATTTATTTTTATTTGTACATGTATGTATGAGTTATCCAGCTTAATATTTCTCTTAGTTCACTAGCATTAGTGCGATTTCACTAAGTGTAGAGACCATGGCGGGTCTTTACATATCGCGTATACATATAGGGAATACAAGCCTCTAGTAGATGATGCTTATAGGAAAACAGGTCATTACTTAACAGTGACACTTAAAAACGTATAATATGTTTTTCTTTGTAAGTATACAATTTAAATTTTCATAACAAAATATTAAATAATTTTTTAATTTTATAAAAATTTGTAGATTTGATCTATTTAATAAAAACTTAACAATTAAATCATTTAAATTTAGTGTGTATCTTGAGTAGTTGAGTGAAGTAACTTTTGATAGAATTACTCTTGGAGTAGCTTGATTCTTGGCCTCTACACACACATACATGCGTAGTCTTGCAAGCTTGTCTTTAAGTAGATTAAAAGTGATTATCAAATAACTTAATCCCTAGCCTACACTCACACACATGCATACATGTAGTAGTCACACAAGCTTATCTGTAAGTAGATCAATGGTAATTCTCAAAAGTTGGTCATGTATTAAGTGAAGACCTATCTAATAGCTAGTTAGCTACGAAAAATGTTAACTAACTTATTTGCAACTCCATTGCACTCATCAATTACACATGGTGGAGCTAAATCTCCCAACCCAATCCTATGATGAAAACAAATCATCTCTTGTAGTGTTGTCTCCCTAACCAGAGAAGTTAAAAGGAAAGACAAAGAGAGAAAGAAAAAAATGAGTAAAAGTAGTAGATAAATAAATAATTGTTAAAGAGACAAACTACTAGAGAGGTGCTAGAAAAAATATGTTTAAAATGATCCAAATCCACCCTTGGATGGTCGTTGACAAATATATGGACAATAGTATTGTACAACGAGTATCATGACCTATCAAGAACATGATGAACATGATGAACATGATGAATGTGGTTTTAATTGAAAAAGTTTTATCATCAATAACATAATTCAATTAACACATTTATCTTAATTTAAATAATAGTTTCAAGTTTGAGCCCTAAATATGTATTTATGATAAATACCTCATCATACTTTATGTAGAAAATACTCTAATAAACTTTAACATGACCTAACTAACTCTTCATGTTTTATGTCACTAATTAGTCCCTATAATTGCATGGAGGTAAAGGCAATGAGTGGTGGTGATGGGTCATAATTGTGGAGGAAGCAATAAGTAATGATCTCAATGTGTATATAATTGACGTTTAAACAAAAGGTTTATATATATATAGAGAGAGAAAGAAAGAGAAAGAGATACACTAAAAAGATTTCTTCTAAAATGTTTAGTAAAAACTAAAAATATTACTAAAAGAAAAGGTAATATTTTTTTAAAATTGAATTAAGTCAAACACACGTTGAATGAGTAATTAAATAAGATTGATTCATAAGATCCAACATCAAATAATTGCAACATTTTCATGACACTGCATCTTAAGAGGAATATGACTTTTTTTGATTAAACTTATTTCAAACAAATGATTAAACAATGTTTCTTAAGCAATAATTTGTAACATTGTAATTATAATTATTCATCCTTCTAAGTTAATTACATATTTGTACAAATGTATAAAAGAAAATACATCCAATTTTTAGCTCAATTTTTACCTATTTATAAGGAATATGCATTTAATTATTAAGAAAATGTGCTAACTTTTAGTCTTTTAAATATTCAATATAAAAAAATGTCAATATCATGTGACTTTTATATAGACTTGTGTTAACGAACTTTCTAATAGGACTAGTTTTCTTAAAAAGTTTTATGCTCTTAAAATATTTAGTTTTCTTGTAAAATGGGGCCATAATCTTGAATTTAAAAGTTGAAGTAATGGACGTGGATGCAAAATTTGTTGTGCACTAAGAGTTACTATACATACGTGTTTCTACATTTGTAAGATATTGTTCATTTTGAACCTAAATTTTCATGATTTTGTTTTTGATTATACTCTTAACAATGGAGACAATTGTATGCGTATAAACTCATATTCATCTTCTTATTCGAATGATGTGGGACTTTGGTTGTATTCAAATAATCCTTCCCCTCAAACAAATGACCATGGTTTACCTTCTTGTAGTGAAAGCTAGTCCATAACCATATGCAGTGGTGACTCAGAACTTAGTTACGCTCTAAATACTTGCATTATTGCTCCATTATTAACTAACGATAGTGATACATGCCTTTCAACACTCCATGTTACCAAGAAGACTCTCCTCCATACATGGATCTACTATTATGAAGACTTTCGATACAAAGGATCTTATACCCAAATCTACCTACCAACTCCATCATACTCGTCAAGCTTGTCACCTAGCTGACCATCCGCTCCAATACTACTTGTATACTGAGGGTTACCCCACAAGCACGTGTCTTCACATTGGTAAGATATTATTCACTTTGGGCATAAACTCTTATTGCTTTGTTTTTAAACCATCTCCTAAATGGTCTATTACCAATATGGAGGCATTTGTTCGTATATAAAACTATGTTCATCCTTTTGCTTTAATGATGTAAAACTTTATTAATTGTATCATGATAATCTTCCCCCCAAATAAAGAACCATGATTTAAATATCTTTTGGAGTTGGAGCTACTATGAGTAAATCTAATGGTGACCTATAAAGTTCATTCATGTTCTAAGTACTTGCACTGTCATTCTATCACTAACTCATGATAGCAAGACATGTCACATGACCCTCTATGTTACTAAAAAAACTCTTCTTCATGAATGGACCTAATAATGACTTTCAATACAAAAGATCGTTTATCTGGATCCACCTGCCACCATCATGCTCGTTTAGTTAATCATCATTATATTAAATAGGTTATAAATGGTACTAAACATTATTTTTTGGGGAGGGGGTGGGTACTTGAAACATGAGAATTTAGATTTGATTTTTGTGATTATTTTCGTAATTTTTCTTATCTTTATCAAAATAAAAGTTTTGGCAAAATGAACATGTTAGTTTGGTCTTTGGAATTTTTTATTTATTTCATCTATCTAAAATTTAGAATTATTATTTTTAACTTTTATTATTATGCAATCAGTTTTAGTTACTTGTTTATTCACTAAAAGATTAAATAATTATTTTAAGTGTTACTAATAATTGTTAGTAATGTTATCTTATTATGTTAGTCTATATTTCTAACAAAAATTTATAGGCTTATAAAATAAATCATTGTTAAGGAAAAAATCAATGATTTTTAATTTTAGAAAGATAAAAACAAAAAATTATAAGAATTAATATTAAAAATTATTTATTTTACAAGGACTAAAATAATATTTACAAATTTATAAAAGAATGGTAAACAAGAAAAAAAACTTACATCACAAAAATAATTTGCTCTTTTTATGGAAAAAAATATATATTTAAATCAATATTAGAATTATATTAGTAGTCTTTAAAATATTAAAAATTATGCTACATAATTTAGATATTAAAAAATTCTTCAAATTAGTCTTTCAATATTAATAAATTATATTAATACAGAAATTAAATTAAAGTCCACTATTAACCTATGCAATAAAAAATGTACAAATTGTGAATGAGAGAAGTATGCCACTTGAGATAAAAAGTTGATAGTGAATAAATTTGGAATTCCTAAAAATTATGCTATAATAAGCACTTTAGACTTAATAATATTATAAATATATAATTAAATATTTTTATTGCGTCGACAATGAGAATCGCACAAGTAAATTATTAATATAATATTTGGTAATTTATATTTCATCACAAGCACAACACTAATAATATGAAATAACTATAACCAAAGTTATACAAGTACAAACGCTTCCAACAATGAAATCATAAATATAAAACCTAAGGATATGTCCCTCTTGCCGGTGAACAATATAAAACAACCATAAATTCCAGCTTATTTTCTGTAGATAACTTGTTTTGCTCAAATGATTTGCAAAAGGATGGGTCTTCAAGATGCTGGAAATTAACACAAGAAATGTGAGCTTCCCAAATGTCAAAATGAAACACAAATTTATTGACGTTCTCTCAGATAAATAAATAATCAATTTAAATGAATAATGTTTTTATTTACACAAAGAAAATTAACACTAGTATTTGTCAAGAATTTGAAGTAATAAGAATAACATATATAGTTAATGATAGATAAAAATAAATATAAAAAAAACACAATTAGCTCATTTGAAAAACTTGCATAGTATAACATTGATAATCTTTCGAGTTTTATAAGGCTATCAAGTATGAGCATTAGTAATATTAATGCTATGTATCCAACGATTATAAATAGCCAAGAAATCGCAATTCTTAGTTAATTAGCATACTACGCCTATAATTGTTGTGCAATATTAATATATCTAATTTCATTTGCAAAATACGTCACAAAAGCATAGATTAACAATTCTATTGCAAAATCTTGAGTATATATGTTCTAACATGCATCGTGAAATATATTCGTATCATCTCTCAAATCAACTATTTTATTTAACCAGGCATACATCACTCAATAATGTTATACATCAAATTTTATTGATCCAAACATTAAATTAAAATTTCTAAATATATAAATCAAATATTTAAATTTTTAAAAAATTAAAAATAATATAATACTTTATTTCATTAATTTAAATTGATGAATAATTATAAAAATATTTTATATGTCGATTTGAAGCTATATAACAAAATATCATATGATTTTTATTTTTTTAAAATTTGAAAACTTGATCTATATATTAAATTTTTTTTAATTCAATTGTTGAATCGTTAAAATATGATGTAAAATATATAAGTTATTAAGTAAAGTAAGTAATAGTTTAAAAAGCTTACTCTTGAAACAGGTGAATTTCACCTATATATTATATAGAATTAGTTGACACCATGATATCAAATGTGTGAAATGACATCTTCAATAATTTCATATATAATACAAATTCAATCAATCTAAATGTTGTATTTAACATTTAGATTTTGCATACAAATCTAAATTTTGTATATAAAATTATTATTAATCTAAATAATTTAATATACAAAATTGCATACAAATTTAAAATTATTTAATATTTTATTATATCACTTTATTTTAATGTATACAATAATATTTAAAATATATGTAAATATCTATTATTAAATAATATATTTAAAAAAGTTCAATTAAAATTTTCTATGATCACAAATGGAATATCATAAAAAAAAACAATGGTTAAATAAATTAACTTTACATTCGAAAAAAAAAATATTGAAAGCCTCATCTCACATGATAACAACAAATTGAAAATCATTGGCGTACATAAAATCATAATGTTTATAACCTTAGGCTTTCACATGAATTGATCTTCTAAACATTCATCACACAAAAAATGAGTTTTATTTATTTATTTATGATTTTTAATAGATACTTGAATGACCTGTCCACTTTAACATTCAAATATCAAAGAGCTTAAAAACAAATTTTATTATTGAAATATTAATGGAAAACAAAGAGGTTGAGTAAATCACAGAGGATAAAGAAAAAGTAAGTTACCCAGGAGAAAAAAGAAACTTACGAATATAACGAAATGGAGTATGTTTGTTTTGTATTTTTGTTTTAGTTTTAAAAATTAAAAAATAATTTGTAAAGGCTAAAAGTAGGACAAGAAGATGCAAAAGAGTAATATGGTCTTAAATAATGATGTATGAAAGTATTATATAATGTAATATGTAAAGCTCTTTTCCATTAACTGTTTGTACCAATTAAACTCTTTTAATTTAAAATTTATGATAATTATTTATTATGTGAAAAGTAAAAGTAATTATGTATGGAAAGACTACAATTTATTACCTGTTAAGCTATAGTCACCTCCGTACATGAGAGAATTTAAAATAGGCATGTGACCAAGAACGCTTGAATAATATTGAGCCCAACACCATCCAAAAGCTTATAACAAATCCAAATGTCATACTTATGTAAAATTCATGACTTAAAAGTGAATTTTCATTCTCATCAATTTCAACTTTTGGCCCTTTTACGTGCTCCCCATGATCAATACACGATTTCTCCAGTGGTGGCCCACAAAGATCAAGATTATCTTCAAAACTCGAGGCAGGGAAACTTTGTAGTTGTGTGCCAGTTGGAATTTCTCCAGTTAGATGGTTGTGTGACAAATCTAACATGGCGAGTCGATCAATTTGAGTAAGACTCTGAGGAATTGAATCAACAAATTGGTTTCTTGACAAATCAAGAAATTCAAGTGATGATAGCTTGCCAATATTTGAAGGAATTTTTCCTGTCAAGTTGTTTCTTGATAAATTCAATGAAATCAATCCAAATAAATTCTCTATTTCGATAGGAATTTCTTCTGAAAAGTGATTGCTTGAGAGATCAATACTTTTTAAAAGTGATAGTTCAGTATTCTTGAACATTTGTTCTGAACCTTTCCACATCAAGAATGCATTCAAATCGTATGGTTGTTCGCCTTCCATAATATCCGTGTTGACAAAATACCGATGATATCCAGAATCCCTTAAAAATGTATTTTGAGCCATTGAAGTAAAATTTTTTATGCATGAGGGAATTTGCCCAAATAAGTTATTTTGAGAGAGATCCAATAGTTGAATGCTTCTTAGATAACAGATCTCTAATGGTAAACTTCCATAGAAATGATTCTTCCCCAAACTTAAAATTTGCAATTCTTGTAATTTCCTCCCAATCCAAGCAGGGATATGGCCTGATAACTTGTTTTTTGCCATATCAAGCATTACTAGCTTTGTGCAATTTCCCAAAGAGAAAGGGATCTCATTTATTAAGTTGTTGTTTCTCAAAAGCAATACTTGAAGATCAAAAAGAGATCCCATGGAAGTAGGAATCTTTCCTGAAAAATTATTATGACTTAGATCTAAATAAGATAATGACTTGAAATGATTCCAACAATTTGGAATTTGCCCGGATAATTGATTATTTGAAAGGTCTAAATGGTATAAGGTTTCAACTGTACCATTGGCACATAAAAATGAAAAAGAATTTGAGAATTTGTTTTTGGATAAATCAAGAAACATAGCAAATCGTAGAAATGGTGGTATTGGGCCTTCAAATTGATTTGATCCAAGAGTTAGGGAATAAGAAGGATTCTTTTGTGGAAAATTTGGAATTATACCAGAGAGATTGTTGTACGAAATATTCATTGAAATCCATTCCTGCAATGTTATTTTAGCCCAAAACCACTTTGGAACCATATCTGATATTGAAGCATTTGAAATGTCAAGATCATTGAAATGATTTTGTGTTTTCAACCATTTGGGAAATGTTGGACCTAGCATGCAAGATTGCAATCCTATGTAGCTCAACTGAAAAGGTGGAACCCAATTTTGTTTGAATGTCAAGGCCAATAATGAGTTCTTTGACAACTTCAACTCTTTTAACTTAGACAAATTAGTGAAATGGTATTCAGTGAGCACACCTTTTAAGGAATTTGAATGCATATTCAGACTCTCTAGCTGAGGTGGAAATTGAATATCTTTAGGAATGTCTCCATTTAACTTGTTTCCATAAAGATATAATCCTTTTAAAGATGAGAATATTGAGAGGTCAGGTAGTGTCCCATTGATTTGATTCATGCCTAGATATAAATATTCCAATGAATATCTAGCACATCCAGATAGGTGATGGATTATCTTGGGAAACTCTTCATCCAAGCTATTGTTAGACATGACCAATAAGTGCAAAGCACATGCATTGCCAAATGATTTTGGAACTCCACCTTCTAAAGAGTTTGAGCTAATGAATAAAGATTGCATTTGAGATGGCAATTTGCTACCTTCGGGAATCTTTCCACTCAACTGATTTTCAGAAAGATCCAATATTTTTAAAGATGAAAATACTGAAAGGTCGGGTAAAGAGCCAATAATTTGATTGTATCCAAAATTCAATTCTTGTAATGAGTGTCTAACACAACCACCAGACAAATTATGAAGAATTGATGGAAGGTCTTCAGTCAAATTATTTGCATTCATGTATAAAGAATGTAAGGTGCAGATATTCATGAAGGATTTCAAAATCCCACCCTTCAATCTATTATAAGAGAGGTCAAGGTGCTCAAGCGAATTCATCTTGACCATCCCAAAATGATTGGATGTGGAAACCTTCAAGAGATTATCGCTAAGATGAAGCTCAACAAGGTTGGAAGTGGTGTTTGACACCCACTGGAATATCATCGGTGACGTGAAGGTGTTCAAGGATAGATCAAGGAGGGAAAGGGAAGTAGAAAAATTGAATGTAGAAGGCCTCAATGAAAGAATAAAATGATCGGAAAGGCTACAACCCCTTAAACTTAGTTGTCTTAGTTTTGGTAGCTTGGCAATCATTTGGAGGTAGCTGTGAGAAGTGTTAAGATTAGGTATGGACCACAAGTAAAGATGGGTTAGAGAAATGAGATTAGACAACCACTGACCTCCATCATCAATTTTGAGATCATCATTAGGAAATCCTCCAAGATAAAGCTCTTGTAAGTTTGAAAGGTTCCCAAGCTGAGATGGTATATTTCCTTCAAAAAAATGGTAGCTGAGATCAAGATACTGCAACTTGGAGAGATTTCCGAGTTGGGATGGTATCTTTCCTTCAAAATAATTGACGTAGAGATCAAGATGTTGCAACTGGGAGAGATTTCCAAGTTGAGGAGGGATTGAACCCTCTAGAGAATTCCAAGCAAGATTTAAGTATTTCAAATGAGAAAGAGAGCCAAAGTGAGTTGGAATTTTTCCGCCAAAACGACATGATGACAGGTCAAGGGATATCAAGTTGGTGAGAGAGCCAAGAAACTCTGGAATATGTGTGTTGTAAAAAGAATTGAGACTGAGGTTCAAATAGTTTAATTGTTGCAACTCCATCAACGACTTGTGGATCTCTCCGCTGACATAATGAAAGTCAGAGTGAAGGTCGAGCATGAGGACATGGCGAGTGAGGTTGCTGCAGCGGATGCCCTTCCATTGGCAGCAGTGAGGAGTGGTCCAAGAGGAGAGCATGCCATAGTCATCAAAAAGGGCAGCCTTGAATTGGAGAAGAGCTTCCCTCTCCCTTTGAATGCATTGAATTTCATGTTCATCACCACAAACAACAACCTCCACCCACACCAAACACACCATCATCATCAACATTTTCAATTTCAAACGCATCCTTGACATTATCATCACAACCACTAAGTGATTGATATTAGAGAATTGGATTGATACTTGTTCTCACTTTCATTACCACTGCCAATACCCATATATATAACATCCCATAAATAATAAATAAATAAAAAGAGACCATTAATTTTGCACCGTCAATTACGAAACTAATCACAACTTCTGGACTGCTTTTGGTATAAAATACTTAAATACATTAACCGTATAAATATGTGTCCTTTTGAGCCATAAATATATTTGTTGTGATTTTTTGTTATAAAAAAAATATTTGCAGAATTGTCTTACAAATTTTCTTACAATAATAATTTCATAAATTTTTATTTGCAAAACATGATTTACAGAATTTTCTTATAAATTTTTTTATGAAAAATAATTTACAAGAAATTTTTGTAAATTTTGCTGCAATTTTAATGATCATAGAAAAAAAATTTCATGGTAAAAATTCATAGAAAATGTTGTAAAAAATTTATTTTGTTTCTTGCAAATTTTCTTGTAAAAATAAATTCGCAAGTAGTATTTACTAAATGGTAAAAAAATTTCGCAGATAACTTTTCTTGCGGATTTTCCTGTCAATTTTAATTCGCAGGAAAAATTTAAAAAATATTTAAATTTATAAGTTTAATAATTAAAATATTTTTAATTAAAATGTTATTTTACTAAATTATTTATATATAATTAATTTTTATTTTAATTAAATTAAATATATAAATTTATAAATATGATAAATTAATGATAATGAGTTTTAATTTAATGATAATTTAT